ATCGCTTTTCTTTTCCCATATGGCTAACACTAAATGGAATTTGGTGACTTTCCGTGTCTTTAAAATGACACCAAGACATGCTTTAATTGGCCTCTTGCTGCTTCTCTTCCATTATCAGCGGGAAGTCACATGAAGTTCAAACAACATATTTTGGTTTTGTCTGGATGTTAACCTTGAACCACAGCAGGAACACAAAGAGTCCAGTACACATGTTGGTCAAAAGTAAGTAAAAAAAAACAAACTACATTTGATAGAGAAAAGTTATTCCATAATAAACTGGAAAGATATAAGAAAAAGGTTTACTCAAACTTAAACAACCACCACTGTATCTGGAGACAAGCCACAGATTAAAAACATCAAACTGCTGAAAATCGCTGTAAAGTTTTGAGTACAACGAGCAAGGTTATAGAGCAGTCGTGATGAAAAGAAACAATGTTGCCTAATGGTGCAAAGGATGAACTTAACAGCGGTTTTGTGTCTTCGATTCCAGTGTTTTCTTTTTTTTGACCCGTCCATTTCTCCAACTACGCCTTTTATATCATTGTCCTTCCTTCCCATCACAATCATTATTACCACTAGAGGACTAAAGTTGCATTACATTCTTCTTTTCATTTATAGTAATGGGAAAGTAATGGGCATTATTATAAAAATAAAAGATGTAAACATGCTAGATTTTAGCAAACCTTCTATTTCTCATGCACACTTGCTGGGCAGGTTACATAAGACGCTGTGACATAGAAAAACATACAAAAAAACACACACAAAGAACCAGAACAAACAATACAACAAGGTGAGTAAAAAGTCATCACAGACCTGGTTTACCATAAGCCATTTTCTCATATGTGCCCTAAAAGTCACAGGCCCACCATCAGTCCCTTGTTTAATAAATTCAACAAAATTCAACCTCCCCCCATAACTATAGCTCGTATAGACAACAACAGCAACAGCAACAGAAAAGATGTAAAGATTGTAGCTGAAAGCTTCACTGGATTCACCCTGGCATCATGTAAGCTGGCTCGCTGTCATGGCTCACTGAAACTAATTTAAAGAAAAAATGAAGTTGTTCTAAAACTCCCTGGTGAGGTTTTTTTTCTTTTTCAACAGGTCTTTTCAATTTTTTTCCTCAGGTTTTGGCCTTTGTCCAAGAACTAAAACTGACTTCTCTGCCAAGAAAGTGTAGCCTGTTGTAAAAGGAAA